TACCAGTGCATCACTACCATGTAATCCATTCTACGCAAGCTCTACAAATATTGAGTCAAATCCTGTCAGAAAATTAAGACCCAATAAGTTTGCCCAAGTATTCAGTACAAGAGGCCATTTGTCTTGCCTTTTTCTGACATGTGCATACTATAAAATCACAGGTAGCCAACATTTAGTATCAGTAAAAAACAACTACGTTTGTTCACCTGTTTGGCATAGGGAGAAAACAATGTATCTCATAGCATTAAATGATACAGTCTTAACACATATGATGCTTATATTTGCAAAGTTCCCAAATGTTGAAAAGTTCTAGTGAAAACTCATTACTATTGTGCAAAGATGAAAATTTGGAGCCAATGTCTGTATTCAAAATAACCAGAATATATTTTAAAGCAAAATATATCCTGATACTACTATAGATTCTAGGAACTGTCCTAAAAGAGTAAAGTGTTATTTCCTTTCTGAACATGAATAACATCAAAGGAAGAACCCAGTTCTCAAGACTTAAGTAGGAAATTTATAGAAATTTGGTTTATACCAGTAGTAATAACATTCATGAGGAAAAACTATTAGGTAACAATTTTCTCCAAGAAGAGGATCAGATTACTTAAAATTGTTGGAGAATTCTGGTGGCTTGTGCAATAATCATAGTGATTTACATTGCTTTTCTTCTTTTCAGAGCAATAAGAAAGTTCTTTGGGGTAGTACTTGAAATAATTCACATGCACAGTCATTTAACATAGATCGTTTCAAGTGTAAGCATACATTCATGGGAACAATCTGTTTCCTTCTTCAAAGTATGTTTCTACTTTGGAATGAAGGAGAAATTCTAGGGAAAAATTAATTCAGAAATCCTTTGAAATAAGACAGTTCAAACCTAGGACCAGGGAACCGCATTGCATTGCCTCCCAGTGTGATATGACTGTGCTTCTAACTATGCATCTAATAAAGTTCATTAGAAGGAACATTTGATGTCTAAATTTTATAATACACACTTCAGTCAGACCACTCACAACCCAACAAATTATACAGCTTTAACATGCAAAGGCCTAATACGTTTTCCCACAAGATACTGTATGAAATACCCTGTCACACAAGGTACTCAAAATACAGTCACCATTGCAAAAGAGATACCTGTGCATTACTCTTTTTTTCCCCTCTGGCTTTCAGCATGGCTTTTTAAGGCTTCAACAAGAGGTAATAAGGACTTAGCAAGCAGTTCTCCTAACCAATACACTAATTCACTTGAAAGTCATACTTTTAAAAAAAATCAGTAGTGTATATGTTGAGGAAAAAAAAGTATGTTCACTTTGGAACAAGTGTGGCCCTCTGTATGGCTCTCAGATGCCTAATGCTCTACAGTTTTGTGACAGAATTGTTAGCTGTAAAGCTGTAAAGGTGGTTATTGGTACTATAAATGTACGCTTGATTCAAGTACACTGAAACACACACATGTAACAGATAGCTATTAGGAGACTGTAACCATCCTCTGTGTGTTTTAAGGCCAATAGTAACAGAGAGGAGGGAGAAAAATAACTACCAAGAAAATAAAACTAATTGGTAGATTCACCCTAAGAAAATCTAGGTAATTATATAAATTCATTGTTATGAGGTTGTAGAAAGGACAATTATCTCATAACATATGGAAAATTGGTGAATTTCCTGTGAGACCATGATTTATGCTTTTGTGAATGTATACCTGATCTAAAATTAGACAAAACATTTATTTTTAGACACCAACTAATTTGAAAATACAAGGAAAGAAATAATTACATCCCAAAATTGACTATTAAAAATCATTTTTAAGTACAGTACTAATAAACTAAGGACTACCTAGAGATCATACTTTTAGCTATTATTTAAATTTTTTTTTTTTTTTTTTTTTTTTTTTTGAGATGAAGTCTCACTCTTGTCCCCCAGGCAGGAGTGCAATGATGCAATCTCAACTCACTGCAACCTCCGCCCCCTGGGCTCAAGTGATTCTCCTACCTCAGCCTCCCAAGTAGCTGGGATTACAGGCGCCTGCCACCATGCCTGGCTAATTTTTGTATTATTTTTAGTAGAGATAGGGTTTCACCATGTTGGCCAGGCTGATCTCGAACTCCTGACCTCAGGTGATTAACCCACCTTGGCCTCCCAAAGTGCTGGGATTACAGGCATGAGACACTGTGCCGGGCTTATTTAAAAATGTTTTTAAAGTACAGTACTAATAAACTAAAGACTACCTAAAGATCACACTTTTAGGTATTATCTATTTTAACATAGATTAAAAATACTGTTTATGGGAAAATTAAGCTTAAATACATGTATAGGTAATCATTATTTTGCCTATATACAAGTAATGTAAACAGAAACTATCAAGGTGACCCATTATCTACTCTAATTTATATACACTATGAACTTCTTCCCAGTTATACAATGCCATATTTTAATTCCTGACTTTGAATGGTTAGGAAAGCAAAATATAACTCTGTAAACTTGATCAGCACTAATGTACAACATGTTATGGAGGGTAAAGTGAAGCAAGAATATATTCAAGTAAAATTAAATGTCTTTCATGGGCATTCAAATCCCACATCTCTCTGTATTTCTTTCCAAACTAAGAAAAAGAGCTATAATTAAAATCCCATTTATTATTTTTCTATAGTTCAGAATCAACATATAAAATATGATGAAAGTGAGACTATCTCCCTATATATCACATCATATATATTATGAGAAAGTCACTTGTTATATATGGACATTCAATTAACTCATAACTTGCATTTTAAAAAATATATTCTCCATACTTATTTCTAATAGAAAAAAAAATAGGAATTATTTTACTTTACTCACACGGACAATGCAGATTTTGGGGGGGTAGAAGTATACACAACTTTGCTGGTCTTCTTCAACAAAATTAATACAGAATTTCTAATGCAAAGTTAGGTTCAGGACCTCGAACGGAACATATCTAAGTGAGAGGCACTGAAGCTTAGGTTTCATTAACTTCTTGGGAGATCCACCTATGCACAGCAAACAACTAATTTTTAATATTTCTCTGACTATATTGCATAACATTAAAATATTGTTACTTTCAGTCACATACTATCTTTCATTTCCTGATTCTCTGGCCTTCAGTTTTTTATCTTTTCATAACTTATACCTCAATTACAAAAGGTCAACTTTAACAAAGGTCAGAGTTGCTCCCTTTCTTAGCAGTATATTCAGCTGCAGATCGAGATAAAATAATGATTTTCCTGTAGACTGATCACAGTTGATGAGGAATTCTGTTATGTAATTATACTCTTGTTAACCCTCTATCGATAAGTCAGATAGTAACTGGGGAAACAATTTTACCAGACACATAAGATGAACAGGAAATCTGCTTCAACGTGAATATCTTAGTGTTGGAGAAACCACCATTCATTGATAATGTGACCTATTAAACTGTCCAAATTTTGTGTCCACAGGGCTGAGGAGCTACAGTCTAAATGCATATGCATATTTTGAACTGAAGTCAGCCATCTTCCCTAGGACAAATCTTTACTCTTCTAAAGAAGGACAAGAATAGGGTCTACTTTCAGCTAACCATCTATAATGGTTCAGTTTTCATTTGATTAAAGGAATATAATCTAATACTTTTTGAATGGGGTCAAAATAGTACTATGAGGAAAATATTTACTGCAAATATTTATAATTGTGTAAGGAGAATCATTCTTTTTAAAATCAAATTGTGTTTTAGCTTTAGAAGTCTTTACTGGATCTTTTAAAATCACAATTAAGTATTTGAGAATCCATCCCCACAAAAATTAAAAAATACTATATTAGTTATTTTAAACAGTATTCATTACTTTTACTTTTTATGTTATAATAAACTTATAAACATTTGAATATGCATGCTACAAAGTACAAGTACAGCGCATGTAGTAGTATGTGCATATGTGTGTGTGCATATTGTATAAAAATATGAGAAAAAATTTACTTATATAAAAACATACATATATATAAATAAGTGTGCAAGAGAGTTTTTGAATGAGAATCTGCTTTACATACTACCATTTTGAATGAAAATTATGAATATTAATTTCCTGATTAAAGGAACTCTGTGTCTTCTCATGATGAGTCCTAAAAATAAGCCAAAATACTACTTAATTTCCATCACTTTTTTTCTTAATTACTGGCTGACTTTTTTTCTGCTTGAAATGGCATTACAATTGCAGGGAAATTTCCTAATGTAAAAATCACTTTTGAAAATGAGAAAGAATAATTCTAGTTACCTTTTAAATCAATACTTTTAAAGAGAAATTCAAATCAAAAATAAATAAATTAAATTCTGAGACCAATTTGCCGCTGTGAATATAAGCACATTAACCCCAGGAATAGCCAAGAACTGCACAAACCTCTCTATGAGAATTTACCAGTCTTCTTTCATTTGGCAAGAAAAAGCTCAGGAAAAGTTTGCTTGTTTAAATTCTATGAGCCTAGTCTATGGGGGAAAAAAATAGGAATATAAAAGAAATTCTTACCTCCGGCAACACATGATAGGGAGAGATCTGGACAAATGAACAATATTTACTAGAAATAGGAATTATAGATCAAATTTTGAAAACCCTATGCTAAGGAAGGAAGGAGTTATTATAAACTCACTTAGAGACCCAAACGTTAGGTTCGGCTAAAGAAATGTCAGTCTTCGATATACATTAAATATTTTCAAGAGCAAAATTGAAATTACTGAATTGGAAATGCTCCAAATTATAGGTCATCATTTATACTTTGGACAATTTTCTATGAACTCTATGTTTGCCTTTAATAATTTTAATTGGTATAATTCTTTCAAAAATCCTTATTTTCAAATGGACAAAAATTAAAGGATGAAACATACTCTGGCCATGACTAACCATTCTACCTTACATGTTTATAAATAACAGTTCAAAATTTCATCATTATATTGCTCTCATTTTTAAGTTCCACCATACACACACACACACACACACACACACACACACACACATATATACTTTTTGGAGATGGAGTCTCTCACCCAGGCTGGAGTGCAGTGGTACAATCTCGGCTCCCTGCAACCTCTGCCTCCTGGGTTCAAACAATTCTCCTGCCTCAGCCTCCTGAATAGCTGAGATTACCAGCATGCGCCACCATGCCCAGCTAATTTTGCATTTTTAGTAGAGACAAGGTTTCTCCATGTTGGTCAGGCTGGTCTAGAACTTCTGACCTCAGGTGATCCGCCTGCCTCGGCCTCCCAAAGTGCTGGGATTACAGGTGTAAGCCACCATGCCTGGCCCACAATATTTTCTAATACTGGCATAACAACATCTTCTGAACACAAACACTCATCCACAGATTCTGATTCTTTCAATTTTCTTCTTATCAGTTAGCTCTTTTGCAAGTTGAATGATAATTAAGGTGTGGAAATTACTGACAAAGACTAGATATAGAAGTGGAAATTTTCTAGAAACATCAGTTGTAAATCTTATTTAGCGGTGACATTTCTTTCTCAATTTTTATGTTAATATATGCCTTTTCCTAATTAATCTGGACAGTTTCATCTGAAGAGATATTTTAACAGAATATAAAATGTATAAAGAAAATGCACAAACTGTCAAAATTCATCATGATGTAAAAATAGCCATAAATTTAAAAAACTGTTCAGAATTACTAACATTGCATGTAGATATCATTACAGATGTGGGACTATTATTTTGAACATTTTCTTTGTTGGTGATTTCTCTCATGTTGACAATGTAATTTGAAGGTTTAAAAATGCATATGTTTAGATATACTCATCAGGGGTAAGTTATTAGTGAAATAGGTGGTTGTTCTTAAGAGGATTTAATACCAAACTTAACTCTTGCTCTAAGATGTGTTATACACTTTCCTGATCAAACTGATGTGAAAAAAATGACAGATAACTAAAACTTCCTGATAATGAATGACAAAACATCTGACATAATAAATTCTCAAGGATTTTTTACTCAAACATAATTCCTGGATGTGTCTCATAAACAGTAGCCCCTAGAAACTCTTCTTTAATGTATTCAATAATCCCCTCTGACCTTTGTTCAAAATGCTCTGGGTATAATCCATTAAAGCATGAGTGTTATCTAAATTGGTATCTAAGGGGAAGCAATGCAATGTCAATGTAAAATAAATTTCTTTCTCTCCTCTTGGTCATAATCATGATGTATGCTTTTTTTCAGAATTGAAAACACTTTTCACAGTATAGTCATCTGTAGTGTGTAAAACCATGTTTACAGAACCCATATATACAGAAAAATCTCGGTCTTCAATTTGAAGGTTCTTTGCCATGCTAATATATGTTGTAAAGAATGACCACATAGTAATTGTCTACTCTTTTCTCCTAACCCCAATAGGTAGGTATCAGAGACTCAAGAATTGTGACTCATAGAAAAACTGCATATTCTCTTTCTATAACTACATAGAGTTATAACTAAATTTCTTAGGAATTAGTTTGAATATGCTAAAATATATGAATAGAAATAACTGACTCCTTTTGTTTATCACCGAAGTTGTAATTCTCTGGATTTTCAGAAAATGAAGTAAAAATCCCTATTATGTGTCTCCCCTTGGGCAGATTGCCAAGATCTCAAGTCCATTAGTTCATAACTTATCTTCTTCTGGTACAACTTCCAGTATTATTTGTAATGTTCTGGTTATTCTCTCTACAAAGAAAGAAAAATAAATTAAAAATGCATGGAAATCAGAAATGCATAAAAACAACAAAATAGGAATTATTTTGGGTTGAATACCAAAAACACACAACTGTCTACTTCATAGAGCACTTTCAAGAATTTTTTACTTCATTAGAATCCTATCATGCTCAATTAATTTATTTGTCACTTCTGTAACTTCCCATGATGGCTTCTCAGCAAGAATACATTAATATTTTGCATTCTAATAAGGATTTTTATTCATGGACCCAAAGGGTGAAAATATTTTGGGACAGTAGGACCAACATATAAATAAATGTTTAAAAATACACTTCATATTCAGCTTAAAATTGGTTTATTCTTTTTGCACCTATGAGATTACAGTCAGTTCCTCAGAAGAATCAGAAGGAGAATCAGAATATAATTTTCATTCTCTAACTTGTAACATATTATTGAGAATATTGTCTTATCTCCTAGGGCCTAATATGCCTAATCAGTAGAATGAGAGACTAAATCAGTGATTCTCAAAGTGTGATCCCTGTACCAACAAAATTAGCATCACCTACCATATTAGAAACGCATCTTTGCAAGCTCAATCCTAGACCTACTAAATTAGAAACTGAATATGGGGCCTAGTAGTCTGTAATTCTGATAGACACAAAAATATAGGAACTGAGGACATCTCAAGAGAGTCTGACTCCAGTATTCAGAAGGAGGCCTACCTTTTTTCCTTCAGAACCATTGAGCTAGATAATTTCCAAGGTCATTTTATCTCAGCAGTTCTAGAACTCTATGACCTTGGTTTCTGGGGACATTAATTATTGTTTGCCTCTTTTTTTTTTTTTTTTTTTTTTTTTGAGATGGAGTTTCACTCTTGTTGCCCAGGTTAGAGTGCAATGGTGTGATCTCAGCTCACTGAAACCTCCACCTCCTGGATTCAAGTGATTCTCCTGCCTCAGCCTCCCAAGTAGCTGGGATTACAGGCATATGCCACCACACCAGGCTAATTTTGTATTTTTAGTAGAGACGGGGTTTCACTATGTTGATCTGGCTGGTCTTGAACTCCTGACCTCAAGTGATTTACCTGCCTCGACCTCCCAAAGTGCTGGGATTACAGGTGTGAATCACTGTGCCCAGCCAGTTTGCCTCTTATCTTTGTAATGAATTCCTACAGAATCTTTTCAATGTCCTGCTAGTCCTGGAGCCGTTTAGAGCCTGACCTCTTGAAGGTTTCATACCCAGATAGTCTTTCATCTGGACGTAGAATATTTCTCCTCATTCATGGCTTGTTATCTGTAATAGCTCCTTTCAAGCCATATTTAATGACATTTAAAAAGATATTTTTTTCAGGCAAGGCACAGTGGTTCATGCCTGTAATCCCAGCACTTTGGGAGGCCGAGGCGGGTGAATCACCTGAGGTTGGGAGTTCGAGAGCAACCCCAGTAACATGGAGAAACCCCGTCTCTACTAAAAATACAAAATTAACTGGGTGTGATGGTGCATGCCTGTCCCAGCTACTCAGGAGGGTGAGGCAGGAGAATCACTTGAACCCAGGAGGCAGCGGTTACGGTGAGCCGAGTTTGCGCCATTACTCTCCAGCCTGGGCAACAAGAAAGAAACTCCATCTCAAAAAAAAAAAAGGTATTGTTTTCATCCTTTTCTTTCTGTGTTTGTCAAAGATGTTGTCCTTAGCGCATTAGTTTTACAGTCTACATTAATTGTAAAGGGCCCAGCACAGTCTCGGTAAATTATAAACTCTATGTGAATGTTTCCTAAATAAACTGTATTTTACACAGCCCACTCTTTACATTGAGATGTAAGAGCAGCATAAGGGAGCACTCAAGAGCAATTACAGCCCATATTTTCAGAAAAGGGAAATGACAAAATTATTCTATAAAAATAGGCATTTTGGGGAAAAGGAAATATTAATAAATTGTAAAGAAAATGTAGCTTAAACAGAGAAGGGGCTAGGGATATGTGACAGTAGTTTAAAACAAACGAACAGAAAAACAAGAGATCTCAGGCATCTGCAACGGCCAAATGAAAAGCAATGATGTTAAAGAGACATCATCTCCAGCCCTGCCTCCCTAAAGAGATCCTGCCCATAGCCTCCTGAACTAATCTCCATGACTGCCCTCCACACCCAACACGAAAGCCTTTTCCAAAAGTGTCTCTCTATATTCAGGGATCCCCAGATGTCTGCTATCTTAGACATCTTGCTTCCGCATGTCATAACACTGCCTCCATTCCAACAAATGAGGAGCAACTTAGATCCTGCTGCTTCCCTAATGTGTCATTCTCCTTCCTAAAAGCTTGGTTTGGGTCCATTATTCAGTAGCACAGGGTCATAGAATCTCTATTCCGGTTTTGCACACTTTCTGCTATCTTTCCTCTTCCTTTGTGTTCAATCAGCCCCATTGACAATATCCAATGTATCTTGCTTATGTGATCTCTCTTGGAATCTCAGGATTTGAATGACTTTCATCGTAATGAAGGCTTCTACAGAGTAATTGATTTTAACCATGAGTACCTATTGGAGTCACACCAACTTTTCCTTCTAAATTATCTTACAGCAGTGGACCAGACAGTGGTGTTCAAGAGAGTCAAGTATGTCTTTAAGGAAGCTTCCTGCTTGCCTGGGAAAGCTGCAGAGCATGTGGCATTCAACTGCCATGTCTACATCCATGTTCAAAAACAGTCTTTCGGCTTTAAGGATAATCAACCCATGGTACTCTTTCTTTAAATAAAGGTGTGTTAATGAGTCTGCATTTGGTGTTTTCAGTAACTGTAAGGTACAGGACCAAATAACAGTTGTAGTATTTTTAGCTTTACCTTTCATGTTCAGTGTTATTCTTGAAATAATTTGAAACAACAACTGGCCCTGCAAAATTTGATTTACCCAACCATACCTGGTACCAGCATGGGAACTACAGCAAAAATTGCCTACATTTTTGATGTAGCACAAGTCTGTTTTTTTTTCTGGACGTGTTCATAAGAATAATAGTATTTTTTTAAGGCTACAAATATTTTCACAAGCATGATCTCATTTTATCCTTACAATGAAGATAGTTTGGACCCCTAAGAAATGCAGGCAAGCTTAATTAATTTGCATATCACACCACAGTATTTGTGAACAGTCTGTTAAATGCATTATTCAGCTTTCAGTGACTTAACATAAATGAAGTTATCTTGACTGACTGTATGCAGCATATGCTTTTAGGACTCTCGAGTTGCAAACTCGCTGTCCACAAAGATGCATTACAGTCATTCTGCTGGTGTTTCCCAATCTGATTTTTTATAATTAAAGATTTTGTTTAAATAAGACTGTCCTCTATCTCTCTCCCTGAGCCAGAGGGACCCACTTCCAGTCACCCTACTCAACTCCGTGACAAGGTGTGGCTGATAAATAGAGACAGCCAAGTAAAACGGCTGCTGTGAGCCCTGGCCCAGGTTTGCTAGGTCTTGCTATCTTTGTGTATTTTCATATGTCATTGGGGTATCTGCCCCTTTTTCCTCGTGTGAGAAGCTTGTGTTTCTGTAAGTAAATAAATAATATAACTAACCCACCAGAAGAATAAACCACTCTGTCACAGATGGCAGAAAAAAGCTTTCTGTGTATCTCACCATTCCCTTAAGAGCATGTTTTCTTTTCTCCCTAGAAATGCTATCAAACAAAAAGTGGTTCAATACTGGCATCCTGTGGCTGGAGAGATTTATCAAATCTCTGAAAATCTCAGCTCCTCGGATTCTGAACATTCCCTGGCTGTCAGTTCTCAGCAGCCTTTCACCATTTTCTGAGTGCTATTTGGTTACCTCTCATTTTTCATGGAAACAACCTAGGTAAAATGTATTTTGATAGACTATCATTTTCACAGAGCTAATCTATTCATGCATTATCAGGGTAAAAATAAATGATAATATAAAGGTTTTGGAATTTTACCAAATGAAAGGACATGATATTAAATCATTGAAAAAACTGCTCCAAGCACAGGCTCTTGGTCTCTAAGTTCACAATGAGTTTCTCTCTAACAAAAAGATCATAGAGTAGTTGGGAGAAGGGTCAGGGCACTGCCTCAGGATTCTGTTGTTTGTGTGTCTGTGTGTGAATGTTTTGTTTTGGCCAAAGGCTAAGAAAATACTTCCTATTGCAGCAATAAATATTATGAATTTTCTTTATTTTACTACAAGAATGCTGCCTCAGAGAAAAATCAAACAAAATTACGGAGGACTGTTGCTTTTTGCTACTCACTTTCAAGGCAGCTATAAAGATAAAGAGTTACAATGATCGCAGTTTAAAAGCAGAATTGCCATGCTCCCCGGTAAGACTTAATGGCATTTTTGAGAACCAAATAACCATTATGGGACTACTCCATTGCTGCTAGTTTCACGAATGGCTAACACTAAATTTGGAGGCCTTGGAAATGTTCAAAACATCATTAGAGACAGAAAAATAGGAAAAAACTTTAAAATTACATGAACACCAAAAGACATCAATGAGGGATCAAGCATGAAAACTGCTTGTTGGGATGAACTGACAAAGAAATAATACAAAGTACACACGTGTTTGTTAGCAAGAGGAAAGGACTGTTAGATTTGGCTGACTCCAAACAGGAGGAACAAAATGCCTGCTAAAGTGGGATGGAACAATGGCTTTCCTCTTTAATCATACTCCCTCTCGTTCTAGTCTAACTCTAGGACCACCAGCTCTTTCTTCCTCAATTCTGTTAATTTTCTGTGCTGCTCAGGGGTTTTAACTGTCTCAGTTAGTATGGGAGACAGACATAGATCTCACAGCAATGAGTGCTAATCTGCCCTAAATGTTAGCAATGAATAAAGCAATCCTAATGGTAAATGGTATTTAGTAAGATCCCTTTTCCCTCCGAATAGGCTCTATCTTTAGTGTTTAGAACAAAGAGAACTTAAAAACATTCCACAGAAAACTAGTGTGATCTGAGAAGAAATAGAGATTAAATACTCAGTTAAGGCAATCAGTGCGCCTGTGTCAGCCATAAAGCACCTCATTTGTATAGTAACATTTCTTTGGGGAAACGAAATCCACATATAAATAGTAGTATAAGATCTAAAGATGCAAAATTCCAATTGAATGCTAATAAAAGGTATTAACAAAACTGCTTTAAAGGACTGACTTCTCAATGAGTCTGCACAGCACACTAGAGATTCAATATGCATATCAAGGTTTTTGGTTGGTTGTTTTCTAGTAACACTGCCATTATTTATTAATAATTTAACCAGAAATCTCCCTAACCTTTTAACTGGAATTTAAAAAATTAATTATGGTAAAGTAAGTAAATTAAAACAAAGAAAAAGTATGAAAGCTATGTTCTAAACTCACCAAATTCAGCAGCGAGCATAGATCTGCCCTTCTGGCTATATTTGTGACCTATCTGCCCCCCTCCCTTCCACAAGGGATCCAGTCTAGAAAGACCATGAACTTAGAAGTCCAGCAGATGTGGGTTCAATTCCTAGTTCTATGGTTTAAAATATGTACACTCAAAAATAAATTATCCATTTTTCTGAGCCCTGGTTTTCTCATCTGGACTTGGGAATAACAACACCTAACCTTGTTGAGGATTGCTTGAGATGATCATGTAGGGGAAAGGACTCAGGAGTGCCTCTGACAGAGAGACAAGCTTGCAACACAGGCTATTCATAAGCACCCTTCTTACCTAATGATCTACTATGATTTCTCCTCCTCCAATTTAACTGGTCACCAAGTCTTGCTGGTTTTTCCTTTTAGTATATTTCATTTTCTCTCAGACCCTGCTGATACTGCCTGTCTTCAGAATCCCCCTCAATTCTCAACAGGATTGCCGCAGTAACCACCAAAGTCAATATTCTGTCTTCAGCCCCAACCTATCTTGATCCATCCTCACAACCCCCAGGGTGACTCTCCTAAAATATAAAACTGCCTGAGTTTGACTTTCAGCTACTCTACTTTATATCTGTATGACTTGGAACAAGGGACCTGAATTCTCTCATGCTATAATTCAAAGCCTATTAAATGGGGATAATAATTTTTCCTACCTCAGTAGGATATTATAAGAATTAAATAAAGTCTTGTTCCCCTCCTTGTGTCCATGTGTTCTCACTGTTCAACTCCGACTTATGAGTGAGAACATGTGGTGTTTGGTTTTCTGTTCCTGTGTTAGTTTGCTGAGAATAATGGCTTCCAGCTTCATCTATGTCCCTGCAAAGGATATTAACTCATTCTTTTTTATGGCTGCATAGTATTCTACAGTATACATGTGCCACATTTTCCTTATCCAGTCTATCATTGATGGGCATTTGGGTTGGTTCCAAGTTTTTGCTATTGTAAATAGTGCTGCAATAAACATATGTGCACATGTGCCTTTATAGTAGAATAATTTATAATCCTTTAGGTATACACCCAGTAATGGGATTACTGGGTCAAATGATATTTCTGGTTCTAGATCCTTGAAGAATTGCCACACTGTTTTCCACAATGGTTGAACTAATTTACACTCCCACCATAGCACATGTATACCTATGTAACAAACCTGCACATTCTGCACATTTATTCCATAACTTAAAGTAAAATTAAAAAAAAAAATTAAATGAAGTCATACACGTGCACGCACATGTGGAAGCTGCTATTGTTCTCTTCATTGTTCTTGTTATTATAATCCTTCATGAGGCACCCTTCCTTTTAAGGTACTGCACAGTCATAATGTTTAAGGCATTTGCAGGCCACTGCCTAACTCCCCAACAAATCTCATGTCACTCATCAAGTTACATGTTATGATATAGAATCACCAAACTGCATTCAACCCAGAAGGAAAATAATTAGGTTAGTAAGGGATTCAAAGAGAGATTAGGTCATTTAGAGAACTACTGATAAAATTTCATCTAAAACAAAGCTGTTTCTCCTAAGAAGTGATTAAGGCAGCCCAAACTAATATCCTGAAAGGATTCAACGGCTGTATCCTAAATGTCCTTCCTGCCAAAAAGTAGTTCCAATTAAAACGCCATAACGTTCTCAAATAATCAATTATGCCACTTACATTTTTAAATGTTAAGTATATTATGTATGTACACCTTTATGGGTTTTCTACATGGTGTTGCACAATGTCCTGAAAGTATTTAAAATTCTTACCTGACATTATTCTAAACCACTTGGGTTTCTTGTCCCATATAATAAAGAGATAATATGCAGGCACTCCAGTCAGAGTGATGATAAAGCCAATCCCTGTACTAAATGGGTCTGAATAGAGGGAAAGGGCAACCATGAAGAGGCACGTGAAGGAAAACAAAGCTGGGATGAACAGTGGAACCTGGAACACAGAACACAAAAAAAGTCACTTCAAACATGTTCAAGCAACAGAAGTTGGGTTTGAGATGAGCATGTCAGTCATGACATATACTTTAGTGATATGCTGTAGTCATGCGACCAGGTGATAGGCACCAACGTGCCTTACCTTAGTAGCAAAGTCTCTTTCATGGTGCACAGATAATGTATTAAATGTACTCCCGGCCGGGTGCAGTGGCTCACGCCTGTAATCCCAACACTTTGGGAGGCCGAGGCGGGTGGATCACGAGGTCAGGAGATCGAGACCATCCTGGCTAACACGGTAAAACCCCGTCTCTACTAAAAATAATTAAAAAAAAAAAAAAATAGCCGGGCGTGGTGGCAGGGGCCTGTAGTCCCAGCTACTTGGGAGGCTGAGGCAGGAGAACGGCGTGAACCTGGGAGGTGGAGCTTGCAGTGAGTGGAGATCGCGCCACTGCACTCCAGCCTGGGTGACAGGGCCAGACTCCGTCTTAGAAAAAAAAAAAAACACACACACACACATTAAATGTACTCCCTTAAATGTCTTAAATGTAATTCAACTTAGTTTAAATTGTTTTTAATTCTTTGGATAGAACAAAATCTAAGGGCAAAAAAAGGATATTTTATTAGAGATGTTCTGTTGGAATTATTTTACTAGTTAAATGCCATGATGATTATGGTTTTGATTTTAAAAGACTGGCTCTTTGATAATTATGATTAGAACCCACTTTAATGTGGAGTCAAGAGCACTGGCTGCTTGTTACATGTTAAAGTCTTCCAGTGCATATTGATTTTCTGTTGAGATTCACAATAAGAACTGACAGGAATAAAACAAGCCAACTCCTATTCAACCGCTAATAAAGATGCCGCCAGCATTAGGCAATGAATATTATTAGAAACAAATCCTGACAACATGACTGACAACATCATCTATGCCATTTCTTAAAAACAAATAAATGATGAGGTCAAATCAATCTGTGAGTCAAGTCTGAAGAAGATGGCAAGCTTCTTCTCCAGTCCTCCAAAACGGAAATGCTTACTTATGGGAAATAGGTATTAAGTGGTAACTTCATAGATCTTCTCTTTCCCTGTATACTTTACATTTCTATTCCTTTTAGAGTGTATAATATAGAGAAAGAGCAATGTAACAAATCACAACATTTAAGTACTTAAAATGCCTATTTTGTAAGGGCAAATTCCTTTTTGGAATTGGCATTAACGAAGTATCTCCCTTACTCTTTCTCACCACGGCTGTCCACAACTCCAGCATAAAGACAGACAGAAGTAGCCCATACTTTGAGTATATCAGGTCATTGAACACATTCATGAAAAATCAACATACCAAACATTCATTCATACTGTCATTTTTCAAAAATGGGACATACAAAGTTCAGCACGTCACATAAAAAATTGGATGAACTATTTTTTTCCAACTTAAAATAAATCCAACAGGAAAGCACTGCCTGCAGGAGTTAAACATTTTTATTCCACAGATGCTGCCCCCAGCCCAACCTCCCCATCAGTAAGTTATGACAAAGGGAGGACTAGGTATTAGGAGAAAGATTTATGTAAACCCATCAAGATTGCTGAGGTTACCTTGAAAGGACGATGCATATCTGGGCATTTGTATCGAAGATAAATCAGCCCAGCAACTGCCAGCCCAATAAAAAGCCACCTGGCAAAACTGAGGAAATTCAAAAGACTGTCGAGGTCTCCAGAGAAGAGCATTATCATTGTCAAAGGGTGCTGAGGGGGGAAAGGGAAGCAAGCTTGGTGAATTCAGTGAAAGTACAGATGATTAACAACAAAAACCTCACTAGGCATTATGATCGTTTTCAAATAATTATTTATACCAATAAATTATCATCATAGTTAAAACCTGGATTTGACTAATCTTTTTCCTATAATCTGCTGTCATAATCCATTTACACACCAGTAACAGTATGAGAGTGATATGGCCATTATATTTTATTCAAGTGGAATTCTGTATGAATGTTGTGTTTTGTTTTTAGTTCCTTTTGCATTTGAGAGAAGATAATATGTTTTCAAAGAGTAAAAGAAAGGGTACTCAATGACTCAAAATTGAAAGACTCAAAGATTGAGATGATTAGTAAATAACCAATAATAAACAGTAAAAAAGACCCAACTGGAAGATTTACAGAAAGCTCTGCAAATGCTCTGATGAGCTCTTGGCTATCCACACACAGGAAATACAGACACTCATGGGTGATTCTGTTGGCTCTTGATTGCAAAACATTGAACTTTTTTCCTCCACATTTACTCTCCTGGTGTGCTTGTTGTGTGTGACCCTCAAGACCACGGAGAAGAATGAAGCACAGAGATCAGCTTAGCAAGTCTCTGCAGCTGCACATGCCAAGGACAGCACGACTGATAGCAGAGGCTTAAAATGAAAGCCCTCTTCACGGAATAATACATTCTGTTCCCACAAGTGACGTTAAAGTCCAGATTCTGCACAGAGGGTACGCATACTTTTAAAAGAAATTTCAAGGAAATGTTCTGAAACAAATTAAATGCATGCAAAAAAAATGTTCAGTGCATTCTATGGTGCTCCTGACAACAGATTCCAGTTGAGAGAAATGTTACAAAATCACCAGTAAAAATGAATATAACATTGCCAGTGGGTATTTGAGGACTTTTACACCTTATACAGTCTTTAGAAGCTCACATTTCACAACACTTTGCTCTGCATAAAGAATTTTACAACTCAAATTTACCTCATGGTGCTTTTATTTTATCCTGTAGGATAAAAGACATTATTTGCTCTCAAATGTCTCAAATGAATAATGGCACTGTCTAGGATTTTATCAATTCTTTCAATAATTTTGTGTGCATTTCATGATAAGGTGCCTAGATGGTACATCTGGGTACTTTTTGGGCTGTAGCTTTTTGCTCTACTTTCCTTAAGTAGTTGGGACTTAATACTCTACATTCTTTTCTGTGAGGTGCTATGTCGATCAGAGGAACCAAGCTAATCGTTTTCCTTAGACCGTACACATTTTTGCAAAGACGAAAGAGAGGTGATGTGATTTTTGCCCCAAAGCATCAAACGGGCATCAGAAACATGGAGTAAAGGGAAGAGATGGAAGATATCCTGCCTCCCAAACTCCACCATGACATACATTAGCAATGAATGAGAAAGTAAAGTACTATCTAATGTCTGGTTGGAATTCCTTTTTGCTAATCTATTATTCAAGGTTATATCTAGATACACTTGTTAATATGCATTACCAAAACAATAACAGCTGGCAGAGGAGTGTGCTTGCGGACATGAATCATGGAGAGGATTTCTGGAAGGTGACCCTCTCGAGACGCAACATAGAATAACCTGATGGGAGAGAAATGTGGGTGGAGTTGACTGTATGATTGATCATTTCAAAGGGAAAATCCAGAAATCCCAAAGAAAACTTGCATCTTTTTCATACCAAATGGTCAGGCATTTCTCAGGTGATTGCCTAAGTTCACTTTTCAAATAAGGTGAAGAAACATCATAGGAAATCTACATCTGAATTTTACAAAATCTGCCAACATTATATTATTCTTTGAAGAGAAAGAATAGCAATATCTGATTCGGCATAGTGCTCTCTACATATGAATAGCTGACGGGAGATCTAGTTCTAAATTCCTGGTATTTATATGTGTGTTGTCCATCCAATTCAACAAACACACGCACATGCACATCCACAGGTACACACACAGGTATGTAGCATTCACATTTATCTGATCGGGTTTTAATCTTACATTAAAAGAAAAAGACTTTTGCATCAAACTAAACAAAGGAAATACAGATGGTAGGGGTGGTGATTTCTGATGTCTCTTACTTTACTTTTTTTCTTGGCATCTTCAGAGAAACAGAAAATTATATCACCAGAAATAAAATGCCGTTGTTAGACTCTGTAGAAATACTATTTTTAAAAAAAGCCACATGTCAGGCTTCCAAATAAGCTATTAATAGGCAAGCAGTGCCCTCTAATGGACAGAATAAAACATGCTGTTGATACTTGGACCATTTCAATCTTGCATGTCCCTTTAAAAACAACAGGTTTGGAGGCACTATTTCTTTTCTTTTTAAAGTTATCCTTATCACATCCAATCTCAAAAACAGAAATGTGTTTCTGGAAATACATGAACTCACTCACCTGGAGACAGCAAACACACCACCATTCATGGAGCCAAAGCAGGAGAGGGCAACAAAGATCGGAACTGCTAATGAGAAATTTCCCAGTAGCCGCTCAGAAAAGGTCTAGTGAAAGAAAGAACGAAGCAAATTAATGCCTTGCCAGAAAGTGGAATAAAATGAAACAATTTAGGCCAAACTTGCTCTATGACTTTCTACTAGCTTGGTGATACTTGTATGTTTTATAATTTCTCTCTTTGGTTAGGGTCAGACTAACTGCATAGACAATAATCAAAAGCAAGGACCATGGCATTGCTTGTTGCAAAACTGTAGTCAAAGGTCTAAACAGGCACCTTCTCTCTACTTTCAAAAAGCAATGATCCATTTATTGAATCTTTATCAACTATGATGTGTATTGTCTCTGACTCTGACAAGTGATAAAAGCTCAAATCAGAATTCTACTTCTGGAGATAGAAATCTTTCTGTATAATACCTTCTCTTTAGCCTGGAAAACCATATTTTATATTGAAATACACTGAGAAGTATTACAAATGTGTGTTTCATATGCCAATCCCATTGTTAGGAGGTAAATAAAATAACTGATGACTTAATAATTTATAGCATATACATGAGTAGCTCTGAAAATCTTTTTCCCAGAAAATCACACTAGCTAAACCGCTGTTTATAAGGTCACTCCGCCCCCCCTCATGTATTTGTCAATTTCTTTTGTGGTTTCCTATAAAAAGGCTAGAACACAAATAAAAGTCCAACAAGCCACAGAAACTTAAAAGATAAACACAACTTCTAAAACATTATTTTATGCCATGATATGTGCAATATTGCAAATTTCCATGAAGGATATATTTTCCAAAAAAGAAAATGTGTTGGATTCATTAGTTGTCCTTGATGCAGCTGGTGCTATGTAATTAGTGGGGCACGTTATGCTCAAAGAGTAAGTGCTGCCCTTTGTCTCGAAAGATGAGATGACTGACCTGACTTCAATAAGCTTTGTATATTTGATTGTCTGGTGGGACCTAGAGCAGTGGTCAAAGTCTTTTTCAATACAGTGAACTCAAACAGGTTCAAATGAAATGAGATAATTTATTCCCTGTAGATGTTGCTGATATGAGGTTATACTAACTATTTTAAAAGGAACTGACATCAGGTAATGGAAACTTAATTTTTCACCATTCATTGTTATGAAGTCAAGAGTGAATGGTCTCTTACTAGCTGTGTTATGCAAAATGAAAGTATGAGTCACCAAGTCTTTTTTTTTTTTT